TAATTACAAAAGTGAATCTCGATAGTTGTAACAGCCTATTATCTCTCATGTAATTACACAAGGGTAATAACCAGACTGGAACAGCAGTTTTTTTCAGATTTTCCAGCAGTAAAAGGAAGTTTGTAATAACTTATTAAGACATTACTTACATTGTATCTGCCAGCTTTCCTAACATTTAACTAGCATTTTTATTGCTGGTGCTGTGACACTGTAACCAGTTTCAGCTTTAAACCACTCTGTAATGTGACAGAACAGCAGATGACCCCTTAGCTTAACGTGTAACTGTTACAACATTAATTAAATGTGTTGCATTTCCCACAAAGCAATGTTTATATTACCACTCCATTATTACACAGTAACTACATAACAACTACACAGGAACTGTAACACTGCACTACAGGGAAGTTCCGCTGTAGAAGATACAGTTTTGTAATTACATGAGGCAAAACTGAAGTTGATTCACATGTGTAATTACACAGGCTGTACCTCTGTAATCCATCTGTAACACTGACTAAATCATCAGTAGTTACATTGTTGTTGCATATGTTATTCATGTGTAACTACACAGTTATTAGACACACTAATATAAAGTGGGACCTAAAATCTCTCCTCTTTAACTCACAGTCACTAATGTGGTTTCCACAGTTTCTCCACTTATTTCAGTCAGAAATCAATCAGTAATATTAATCATATTAATGTTATTTAAATATTTACATTATTATTATTAATACAAATGATACTGGCAGTTATTATTATTATTATTATTATTATTATTATTATTAGTAGTAGTAGTAGTAGTAGTAGTATTAAAAGTAGTAGTGTTGTGGTTGGTTGTGTATTTGTTGTCTACCTTTCTGTTCTTTCTCTCTTCTCTCCCTTTTTTGTTTTTCTTTTCATTCTTTACCCTTTTAATATCTTACTTTCATTCTTTTTTCTTTTTCTCTCTCACTTCTTTCTTTCTCTGTTGCACTCTCCCTTTTCTTCTCCCCTTACTTCCGTTCACTATCTCTCTCTTCTCTCTCTCTGTCTCTCTTCTCCTTCTCTCTCTTCTTCTCTCTCTCTATCCCTCTCCCTCTCTCTCTCTTCTATCTCACTCTCCCTCTCTCTGTCTGTCTTCTCCCTCTCTCTCAGTCTCTCCTCTCCTTCTCTCTCCCTTTCTGTTTCTCTTTTCTCTCTCTCTCTCTTCCCTTTCTCTCTTCCTTCTCTTCCTTCTCTCTCTCTCTCCCTCTCCCTCTCTCTCTCTTTCCCTTTCTCTCTTCCTTCTCTTCCTTCTCTCTCTCTCTCTCTCTCTCTCTCTCTCCCTCTCTCTCTCTCTTTTCCCTTTCTCTCTTCCTTCTCTCTCCCTCTGTCTCTCCCTCTCTCCCTCTCCCCTCTCTCTCTCTCTGTCTCTCTCCTCTCTCTCTCTCTCTCTCTCTCTCTCTCTCTCTCTCTTCCTTCTCTCTCTCTCTCTCTCTCTCTCTCTCTCTCTCTCTCTCTCTCTGTCCTACTGTACTCCGTTAGTGATTGATTCAGTGACTGTGTTGCTTAGTTACGAGGTGTTATTTCTCCACTCAGAGTGAAGGGGCTTCTCTCTGACTCTAATACAGCCACATGCTCGCACACTCGCTCTCCTCTCTCTCTCACTTTCTCTCTAATTCCCTTCTCTCTTTCTTTCTTTACTTCTTTACTTTACTTCTTTACTTCTCTCCCTTTTCTCTTTCATCCCTTTGCTCTCTTCATTCTCCCTATCTTCATCTCTCTCCCTTTTGCTTCTCTCTCTCTCTCTCAGTCCCCCTCATATCTCTCCTTCTTTTGCTTCTTTCTCTCTTTCTCTTAACCTTACTTTTTCCTCTCTCCTACTGCATTCTCTCTTTCACTCTCCTTTTTCTTGACCTCCTTCTCTTTCCCATCTTTTTCTCTCTTTTCTTTCCCTCGATCTTTCTTTCTCTCTTTCACTCTTTTTCCACTTGCTCTTCTTTTCTTCCCCTCACTCTCTCTCCACTCCTCTGTCACTCTCACTCTCTCTCTCTTTGTTTATCTCTCTTTATCTCTGCTGCAGTCACTCACTCTGTGCACAGCAATGTTCCTCTCCTCTGCTACAGCGCATCCCCCTCTCCCCTCTCTCCCTCTCTCCACCCTCCCCCCTTACTCTCTTCCTCCTCTTTCTCCCTCCCTCCCTCCCCCCTCCCTCTCTCCCCCTCCCTCTCTCCCCCTCCCTCTCTTTCCCCTCTCTCTCTCTCTCTCTCTCTCCCCTCTCTCTCTCTCTCTTTCCTCTCTCTCTCTCTCTCTCTCTCTCTCTTTCTCTCTCTCCTCCTCCTGTTAGAGTCGAATGCAGTTCAGGCTGCTGTTTGATCTCTCCTGCTCTTTCTGATCATCTGCTGTAAATAGATCTGCTTTATAAATGTGTAATTAGCATCATTTACAGTCAGCTTATTAAGACGTTCTCTTCAGTCTTAGTCAGGTTTGTAAGCGGAGTAGGTCAGGAGTGAGTGGAGAACATCTGAATCATCTGCATCCACAGTGAGAAAGATAAAGAGTGCAGTGTTCTCAGAGTGATTCTGAGAGAGAGAGAGAGAGAGAGAGAGAGAGAGAGGACAAAACACATACAGCGCATCTCTCAGTAGTGCTGCTTCACCTGCTGCCTCAGCCTCTCATACTGAGAAAAAGGGAGAGAGGGAGAGAGAGATAGAGAGAGACAAAGAAGGGAAAGATGGGGAGGGAGAGAGAGAGAGGGGGTGGGGATGGGGAGAGATGGAGAGGAGGGAGAGAGATGGGAAATAGGAGGGAGAGAGAGAAGGGGATAGATAGGAGAGAGAGAGATGAGGGAGAGAGATAGAGGGAGAAAGTGAGGGTGGAGAGAGAAAGATTGGGATAGTGTAGGGAGGGAGGAGTAATGAGAGAAAGGAGGGAGAGAGAGGGGAAAGGGAAAGGGGAAGAAAGTGAGGGGGCAGAGAGAGAGATGGGTGAGAGTGTAAGGAGAGAGAGGTAATAAGAAAAAGGAGGAAGAGAGAGGGAGAGAAAAAGTGACAAAGAGAAAACAGAAGAGAGAGAAGATAGAAAGGGAGTCAAAAGAGAGAAATAAGGGGACAGAAAGGCAAACAGAGAAGGAAGAGAGAGAGATAAAGAAGAGAGAAGGAGGACAGAAGAAAGAGGTAAATAAAAAAGATAGAAAGACAGAAACAGAAGAAGAGCAAGGGAGAGAGAAGGAGGAGAGGGAGATGGAGAGAGGGAGGAGGGAGCTAACGAGTGTGTGAGTGTGTGTGAAAAAGAGAGAGATGCTGAGAGCTGATTGGCTGAGAGCGGTACAGGCTGACTCAGTGGATGTGTAGAAGCGCTGTGTGTGTGTGTGAGTGTGTGTGTGTGAGAGAGATATAGATGCAGCCTCAGTCTGTTCATCAGCGCTGTTTCGCTAGCACGCTGACCGCTAGCTCTCTATTGGCTAAGCTTAGCGGAGCGCTTCGCTATAATACAGCAGCAGCAGCAGCATGCCTCACACACACACACACACTCACACACACTGCCTTCAGCCAGCAAGCGGCGGCGGAGAGAACACACACGCAGCTGAACGCAGCGCAGACTGAACCCAGACCAGACTCGGACCGAGACCCAGCGCCGTGAAGAATTCTCCAGTTTCCGCCGAAGGCGCTGGAGGAAGAATTTGGAATTAAAAGCTAGCAGCAGCGGGAGATCGGAAAGAGGAGGAAGAGACGGGAGGAGAGCGCAGAGAGCCTCAGTTCGGATAAAGACGGCTGGAAGCTGCCGGGAAGAAAGAAAAGAGAGAGTTGCAGACTGCTCACACGCCGCCGTCTGAGGGAATAACCTCGGGACGGAGACGCTCCTCCACTGAGGAAGACCTGGAGGAGGAGTTGTGGGCAGAAAGTGGACTTGTGCTTGTGAGTGCTGGACTGCGTGTCTGAGCATGTGCATGTGGACTCTCAAAACAGATGGGCTAAAAACAACCGCGTCCAAACACTTTTGACTTTTACGCATATTTAAATGTACTCTAATTGGACGCTAGTCTGTGCAAACTCTATGCCAGGACACAAATTGCACTAAAAACCAAGCTAAAAAGTGTGTTGCTGATTTTGTTCCTTGTGTCCAAATACTTTTAACAGTCACTTTTAGCGATCTAGCTCTGACTCTGTGTTAGTTATGCTAACTGTCAAAACAGTTCTAACACAACCTAGCATGGTATTTTTATGAACTTGTGTCCAAATACTTTTGACACAATCACTGTGTTGTCAGATTATTTCTTACAGCTTTTTAACACAAATATGTCTCAAAAACTGACACAAATCTGTCTTGCAGATATGCTAAATGTGTTAAAACAGTGCTAATTTGCATATTTTGTTTTAACACACGTCCAAATACTTTTTAACAGTCACTTTTAGCGCTCTAACTCTGACTCTGTGTTAGTTATGCCAACTGTCAGAACAGTGCAAACACAAAGTGTCACAACTTAGCATGTTATTTTTATTAACTTTTGTGTCCAAATACTTTTGGCACAATCACTGTGTTGTTAAATTACTTCTTAACACAAATACGTCTCATAAACACACACGAATCTGTCTTGCAGATATGCTGAAAGTGTCAAAACAGTGCTAATTCGCATATTTTGTTTTGTAAACGCAGGTGTCCAAATACTTTAAACACATTCAGTCTGTTATATTGTTTAAAACAGATTTTGAACACAAGTATGTGTCATAATTGCAGACTGGTCTGTCTTAGAGATGTGATGCATGTGTTAAAAAATGCTAATACAAGTGTTGCTAATTAGCAATTTCCATAAACACTTTGTGTCCGAATACTTTTAACACGTTCGGTCAGTTATTACATTATTAAACACAGAGTTCTGACACAGGTATGTGTTATAACTGTGCACTGATCTGTATTACAGATATGCTAGATGTGTTAAAACGACGCTAACACAAAAAGCCAAAAGCTGTGCTGATAATTAGCGCATCGCTTTTGAGAGTGTGTGTGTGTGTGTGTGTGTGTGTGTGTGTGTGTGTGTGTGTGTGTGTATGGGTTTCCACATGGCGTGCTACTACATCGTCATCAGCTCCACTCACCTCAGCAACGGACACTTCCGCAACATCAAGGGAGTTTTCAGAGGCCCGCTGTGCAGCAAGAACCTGGTAACTACCTCACTTATCAATAACCTCTGATCAATAAGCTGATCGCCTGTTTACTGTTTGAGTCTCACTGATGAAGTTTTGCTGTGTGATCTGGTGTCTTAGTGAAAACATCTCAAATGTGGTCAGTATATCTAATATCTGTCACTGTGAGATATGAGATGTTGTAACACTATTATAAGATCATTGAACTTAGTTTATAACATTGAGGTCTGCTTATAACATCATATATAACATAATGAGGTCCGCTTTATATATAATATTATGAGGTCGTCTTATAACATTATATATTAACTTAAGTCTGCTCATAATATTACACATAACATTGAGTTCTACTTAAAACAGTATATATAACATCGAGAGGTCTGCTTATTACAATGTGTAAGTGTATAACATAATGAGGTCTGTTTATAACATTATTTTAATATCATATGTAATATTACTGCTTGTAATAAAACATATGACATTATGATGTCTGCTTATAATGTTGTATATAAGATTATGAAGTATGCTTATAACATTATGTAACATTAAGAGGTCTGATTATAACATTACGTAGTTTTACAAGGTCAGCTTAAAACATTATTATATTATTAAGTCTGCTTATAGAATTATATATGAAATTATGAGGTCCGCTTATAACATTGTGAATAACATTATGAGGTGCGCTTATAACATTGTATATGACATTATGAGCTAGCTTATAACATTGTATATAACACAATGAGGTCTGTTTATAACATTTTGTATAACATCATGAGGTCCACTTGTAACATTATGTATAACATAACGAAATCTGCTTATAACATTATATATGACATTATGAGGTCTGCTTATAACATTATATATAACATTATGAGGTCTGCTTATAACATTATATATGACATTATGAGGTCTGCTTGTAACACTATATAGAACCTTTTTAGTTCCACTTATAACATCATATGTAACTTTTGTGAGGATGCTTGTAACATAGAATATGACATTATGAGGTCCGCTTATAACATTATGTATAACATAATGAAGTCTGCTTATAACATCATTTATAGCTTTATAAGGTCTGCTTACAACATCATAAATAACTTTTTTGAGGTCCGCTTATAACATTATATATAACATCATGACTTCTGCTTATAGAATTGTATATAACATTATGAGGTTTGGTTATAACATTATATATAACATTATAAAGTCCATTTATAACATTGTGTGTCTTTATTCACCAAAAACAATCATAATTAATGTCGACATGATAATTTTCCCTCCTCTCTCTTTGTCCTTCAGAACAGGGCTGTCTTTTCTCAGAGAGGGTCAGATCATACGTGTCAAAATACCTGAGGGCCGAAATATTCATAAATGATTAAAAATATTGAGTTTTCAAAATAAGAGCGCAGAGAATCAGAGCTTTCTGTGAGCTGCTGTGTTTCCTATCACTGTGTAAAGATGCGGCTCTGAGTGTTCAGTTGTGTTTTATGGCTGCAGTCTGGACTAAATGTGGTCAGTAAACGAAGTAGCAGGTCAGTCAGAGAAGAAAGACTATTAAACTTTAGCTACTTTGTTACCGCAGTGCAGCCTTACACTGTAATCTTACAGCACCGCTGCCACCATCAGGTGAAAGGAGGAACTGCAGCATACTGGCTGGGGGGCCACTCTAAAACAGAAGCCAGGGGCTGATTAGAATCTGTGTGAGGGCCGCATCTGGCCCTGGGGCCGGACTTTGGACACCCCTGAGTTAGAATTCAACAGGCGGTTTTTGTCACTGAGCGTTTAAAACTGATATTTCTGTGCTTTTTTAAAATAGAACAAGAATCTCCAATGTAGTGACTTTACAGGTGAAAGAAAAAAACTTTCTTAACTTTCAATGTAAGTTAATGTTATAAGCTAAGGTTTTATTCCAAGCACTTTTGGAGCATTTCTGTTGGTCCATTCACCACACCTGCTGTGTTCAAATACAACATCGACAGAAAAGGAGACTTTTTTAGTGATTATATGTAAATGAGCTCTGTTCTGATTGATTATGCCTCATTCAAAAAGCACTCTGGACTGAAACACTGTAGCTGTGTCCCAATTCAGGGGCTGCATCCTTCGAAGTCTGCTCACACCCGCAAAGGCTGAACCGAAATGAGACGGTCTGCTTTACGGCGGATTTCCTGCTTGTGTCACAGCATCGCTGTTCACGCCCTTAGCACTGCGCCACGAAACACAGCTCCTGTCCGGTTCTTTTAAAGTTCTTTAAAGACGAAGAAACTTTGATTTAATTTTATTTTTTCATTTATTAGAGCTGGAGATGCGTCTCTCTGTCTCTTTGCTCCCTAAAACAAAACAAAAGGTTAGCGTAAGTTTTACTTCAGACCACATTGGCTTTAACATCTGTATCATCAGCTATTCGACTGTCACTTGCTCCTCTGCTGATGCTGCCATGTTCTTGAATCCTTGCTGGCACACAGGGAACCTCGGGGTATGCTGGCTGGTGAAGGATCCACCCGTTGGATCCTTCGTTGCCATGGAAAAGAAGGACACAGTTCTCGGCCGCGTATGAAGGAGTCTTCGAAATGGGACAGCCTAGTCGCACCAGATGCAGCCCTTGAATTGGGACACAGCTTATAACTTCAGTGTGAGTGGGAGGAGCTAAACCGCTGTAGGCTGAACAGGAGGATACATCACACATAACAGTGAAATTAAAACAGGCAGAATTTGCAGTTCAGTTTCTGTAAATGTTCTGAGGAGTGAACTAGTATAAGCACCGCAGTACATTAGCATTTTGCTTGTTTTGAGAAATAACCCTGCTGGAAGTAATCATAGAAGCCATTAAAAGGCTCTGCTCGTTCCTCGAGGTGTCCAGTAGTTACTAATGGTGTTCTGTGTTCTCCTGATGGGTTTATATCACGGTTTAAAGGACTCTTTACACTGATTCCAGATGTATTTGATGATTTCCTGATGGGATCTTAAGGTCTAAGATGTGAAGGTGTAATTAAGCCAATCCCTATTATGAAGCAAAACCATCAAGTTTTAATTCTTATCATCCTAATAGCCTTTTTTTCAGCAGGGAATGAAGATTGTTTTGTTTGTTTCAAGATCTGCCAGTTGAATAAGACACTTTCACTAAATAAAATTACTTACAACGAGTAAACTTCTGTAGACATCTGGTAAATAATCATAGATGTTCTCACGACAGTCTCAGAGTGAGGGATATTAGAAATACTGACCATATTTCAATGTTTTCATTCTGCAGTGTGTGTTTGCTGTTGAGAGTTACTGCACAAAACTTTGTGTTGGCTTGGGAGTATATGGGCATGCACAACTGTGGGGGTTCTTGTGCTCACATTGGAGTCCATGGCAAGGGGCCTCGGCAGTGACTGACCCCCTAAAATTGTTGTCGATATCGATGCTGATCCAGCTGTGCAGCCATGACTCACTGAGAGTTTGTTACCAGCATGCAGGGTCTGAATAAGATGGGTGACGTAGAGGCCCATTTTCACTCCTCAAACTCTGTTAATGCACCAAACGTCCAACTGTGTACCTTCAGTCAATCAGTCAGCCTTTATTTTCACTCACAAACACATTGCATGTGACTCATTTTCAGTGCAGCCAAACATTTACGGCGTAAAGGGATTGAAAGAGAAATTAAAATGAAATTTAATCAGTTTGAATAAAATGAACTGAACTGCATGAACAAATTTAGAGTACAATTAAACAAAATCAAACATGATAAATTGGCAAAAGAGAACAATTAAAATTTAATTAAAAATAGGAACAAGAAAAATAAAAACAAGTTATAGAAGTTAAAAATAGTTGATAAATTTCAGCAAAAAAAGGATGAATAAGACAAACTAAATGTTAAAGCAATAAAATAAAATAATTGTAAAAAGTAATGAGTGACAATAAAATACAATAAACACTAATCAAATTAAGATCAAAGAAAAAACTAATCAGTCAAATAAAAAAGAAAAGAAAATTATTGGAAAAGAAAATAATAATAAGTAAGAAGGGAAAGGGAAAATTTTAACTGAACCAGTTTCAGGTGTCTGATGGTGGTTGGAGATTAAAAGTTTAAAAATGTTTAAAAAGTTGAAATGACTGAGTGACACCAGCCAGCTGAGTCCTGTAGTGAATTCCAGCTCAAGTTCAGATTTTCCCAGTTGAGTAAAAGCTCTATCTGACAGGTGATCCAGTCACTACAGTGAGTCTGATAATTACTGTTATTTATGAATGAGATATAAAAAGCTGGCGTTCGGCCGGAGAGTGATTAATAAATAAACATAAGCCAGTGTGTTTCCACTGTGCTGCTACTGAGGACCAACCAGCAAATTACACCATAACTAAAGCTTCATAAATAAAGTGTGCATTTTTAATAGACAACAAAACAGGTTAAAAACAAATGGACAAAATTTTCACTGAAGTGTGTGGATTAACAGTCATGTGCAAAAGTTTGGGCACCACATAGTGTTTAATTTCCTAAGTGAAAATACCAACACATCCTCTACACAGAACACAGCCTAATGCACAGTTAATGTTTACATGTTGATAGTATTCTGATGACGTCACAAACATGCTGCCACCATTTTGGAAGGCAACTTCGAGTTCCTTCAGCAGCGCTATGGCGGTTTGCTGTGGCTACCATTAGACATGCACTCATTAGTGCAGTAGGTGAAGTACAGAAGTGTGAGTTTTCAGAATGCGGCAATAGATCAGCCAGAGTTTACCATAGTGGATGTGTTCACTTATTTACACTTCAAACATCAACAGGACAAGTAATTTGAGTAGGGGTGTTCAAACTTGCATACAACTGTATGTGTGTGCCAATAAGACTTAAAAAACAGGGTCATAAAAACTCCTCCCCCCCAGCACATGAACATCCAGAGTCATGCTGAGGGGCCGTGGGACGAGTTGGTGCTTCAAGGGTTCTTTAGTTAAGTAAACGGTTCTATATGCAACCTTGGATGCTCAAAAAACCTTTTGCGTGATTAAATCGTTCATTGCATCATGAAAGCGTTCTTCAGACT